GGGTGGTGGAAGACCTGCAGGGTGGTGGAAGACCTGCAGGGTGGTGGTCCTCCAGGACCAGGACTGGCCCCGGTGATAAATCACAGACTAGGATTAAAGTTTAGTTTTGTTCACTTCTCAGTGATCTTTTGTTTTTGATCAGAGTTTTTGGATTTTACTTCGTGTTTTGTCGTCTGCACCGAACAGCTTCACCATTTTTAATTTTTTTAAATAAAAATTGTATTTATTTTATTTTCTCAGACTCCAATCTGTTCTGCTCAGGACTCGGCTTCTACTGAGGAGGAAGAAACAAACGACTCAGGGATCATGTCTTCATTTGAAATGTGTTATAAAGTTAAAGCAGGATAAAACCAGCCTGGTGGAAACATGCCACTAATTTGTCTTGTCGCGTGCTGTGTGGCCGCCAGGCGGCGCTGCAGCTCTGAAAGTTTCTGCTGAGTTCAGATGTTTTTAAAGGCTTCAGATTAAATATAATCCCTAACGTGACCCGGATGATCCTTTAATGTCTCACCACACCTTCAGTCCAGCGTCTTCACACTGTCAGTAAATATTGGAAGAACCCAGAGGAACCGGTTCTGACTGGGCTCTGTGTGCCCTGGTTCTGCTGCTGTGATGGCAGACCAGGACCTGAATGTTCAGTTTGGGCCCCGAGGCGGCCATCTTTCTGTCAGCTGGCAGGTCTGAGCTGGCTCAGGTCCAAACCCTGGAAACGCTTCAGGTGCATTTCTGAGTGGGCCCATCACCCGAACCGGGCCAGGACTCTTCAGGGGAGTGGCTGACAGTTAAAGTCACTGCTGTGAGCCGGAGCCACTCCTCCAACACTCGCTCGGTTCCAGGACTCAGTAAAACCCACACAGACCCACACAAACTGGGAGCTGACGTGGGCTGAGGTCTGAGCCAGGCCTCTGCTGGAACAGCTGGAATCCAGCTGCTGCTGTCGGCACCGACGGGACGGGAGCTGCAGTCACGCTCAGGAACTGGTCCTGTGCACGTTCTGAGGCTCCACCAGGTCTCTGCAGCTCCAGCATGGACCTGTTGATCTCCTGGACCCCCACTGACCCGGCTGTGGCCCGGGTCCTCTGGGTCCTGCTCCTGGTCGTGGCCACCTTCCTGGTCTGGCTCGTTTTCTTCTGCTGCTCCAGCTGGAACCAGAGCTCCTCACCCTCACTGGAGACGTACCTGGCAGGTAGGTGGGCCCTGACATCCCCCGCCCCCTCGGGGGGGGGGGGGGGACTCACAGGAACTCAGTTTTTCTGAACGCTCGGTGGAAAAAACTTTTTTTTTACTTCCAAAGATGGAAAGTTTTTTCTTCCAGAAGCTCATTTCAGCTCCATGTGCAGTTTGTGGTTGGAGCTGGCGGCTGGTGCCCACAGAGGGGACGGAGCGGGGGTGGGGTGGGGGGGGGGGGGGGGGGACAGAGCCTCTCTTTACTCTGAACTAAATGTGCCTTCCAGCTGAGTCAGAACGAACCCATAAAACTAAACTCTCCTGCAGATTGATGAATGTTTGTATCTTTACTTAACCAGGAAAAATAACTCATTGAGATTAAAAACCTCTTTTCCAAAAGTGACCTGGCCAAGATGGCAGCTTAAAACATGAATGAAGGTTTGACCTGGTTGCCATGGTAACCACCACAGTTTGATGAATGAAGGTTTGACCTGGTTGCCATGGTAACCACCACAGTTTGAGGAATGAAGGTTTGACGTGGTTGCCATGGTAACCACCACAGTTTGATGAATGAAGGTTTGACGTGGTTGCCATGGTAACAACCACAGTTTGATGAATGAAGGTTTGACGTGGTTGCTGTAGTAACCACCACAGTTTGATGAATGAAGGTTTGACATGGTTGCCATGGTAACCACCACAGTTTGATGAATGAAGGTTTGACGTGGTTGCCATGGTAACCGCCTCTGCTCCTGGATGTTCATACAGCTCAGCTACATCATGGCTCCGTGATGACTGTTGTTAATGTTCTGTTGAACGTTTTCTCTGTTTGTCCTCAGTGATGGTGAAGAACTCCAGATGTAAAGCTCCCGCTCAGGTGAGGAACGTCGGCCATGTTTGATTTTATCTCCTTCCAACCTACAACCTAAATGCTTCAGAGACCTTTTAGTCCAAACGTTACAGAAACTTTATTACCCTAAAGTCAACTAAGAGCCCCGGTTATTTATTTGCACGTCACCAGCCCTGTAACAGTTGGGACTTTGTGGAGTAAGAACAGAATGTGAAGCCCTAAAACACGTTTTAATTAAAAACACAATGAACAGGTTTGACATGTTGAAACGAAGACGATGAAACTTTGATGTTTTGAACTGAACAGCAGAAACGTGTCCTGAAATCAGTTGCGAGGCGTCTCCTCCTCTTTGAGCACAGTTTGTCTCAGACTGCTCCTGAATGTTCCTCCAGCTGCTTCTGACCCGGATCACTTGGTTCTTTGAGCTGTGTTCCTGCCATCAGGTTCAGATTGTCCACATTTATTTCCC